CGCTGGCCTTGTTAAAATTCCTGGAGGTGGGTAGAACATATTTTTAGATATCAAGGGAATCCACAATACCTCATTTTCACATTCTTCCTCTCTTCAGTTTTCACAGGTAACAGGCAAGGTTCAGTGTTCCACACAGTAGTGCATGCCATACCTTTTAATTCAGGAGCAATCCTGAATCCAGTGGCTCTGGCTTTTTATATTGTTAAAGATTCTTGATTTGGGGCTGGGAAGGTGGCTCAGTGGTAGAGCGCTTGCCTTGCATGCCTGAGGCCCTGGGTTCGATTCCTCAGCACCACATAAGCAAAAAGAAAAAAGTTGGAAGTGGTGGTATGACTCAAGTGGTAGAGCGCTAGCCTTGAGCTGAAGAGCTGAGGGACAGTGCCGAGGCCCAGAGTTCAGGCCCCACGACCAGACCCCCCCCCCAAAAAAAAAGATTCTTGATTCTTGTTTCCTCCTTTAAACTATTTCTCTCTCCCCTCTTCTCTCTCTCTCCCCCCACCCCTCTAACTATGTGTGTATGTATATATGTATAATTCTTCTCCCCCCCCCCCAAAAGCTGGGTGCCAGTGACTCACTTAATCCTAGGTACTCAGGAAGCTGAGATCTGAGGATGAGGTTCTAAGCCAGCTTGTTCAGGAAAGTCTATTAAACTCTTATCTCTAATTAATCACAGTAAAAGCTTGAAGTGGTGTTGTAGCTCAAGTGTTAGAGTGCTAGCCTTGAGCAAAAAGAGCTCAGGGACAATCCCCAGGGCCAGAGCCCTAGAACCAGAAAAACAAAACAAAAAACTTGGAACCTGGAAAGACTCTCCTTGTGCCGTTATGAATGGACACGCTTACAGTTTTGAAAATTTGGAGACCAACCAGACAAAGCAAATGGTTAGTATTTTTATGGCACATTCTAAGATATGTTTCCACTTCAGCCAAGGCCAGTGATCTGTCATTGCAAGCCTGACACGCACAGGCCCTTTCCCAGGCTGATGACGGTCCCTCGTGTTTGTGAGAGAGCCCGATCTGTTTCAAATAAAATCACAGGTTTTACAGACAGAGGGCTCCCGGGCAGTAAGCGCTGTCAGTGTGGACTGGTGGGATTGTTAGTTACTCCTCTGCTTCTCAAGTTGGACGTGGTGCTTCACATAATTCACGAGTAAAACTTTTTAAAGAACTTGAAGGTGGCTCAGTGGTACAATGCTTGCCTCACATGCATGAGGCCCTGGGTTCGATTCCTCGGCACCACATAGACAGAAAAAGCCAGAAGTGGTGTTGTGGCTCACGGTAGAGTGCCAGCCTTGAGCTGAAGAGTTGAGGGACAGTGCCCAGGCCCAGGGTTCAAGACCCACAACTGACCAAAAAAAAAAAATGGCTGGGAGGGTGGCTCAGTGGTAGAGTGCTTGCCTCGCATGCATGAGGCCCGGGGTTCGATTCCTCAGCACTACGTAAGTAGAAAAAGCTGGAAGTAGCACTGTGGTTCAAGTGGTAGAGCGCTAGCCTTGAGCTGAAGAGCTGAGGGACAGCACCCAGACCCAGAGTTCAAGTCCCACGACCAACAAAAAAACAAAACAAAAACAAAAACCCAGAGTCTCATAGAAAGGGGGGGGAGGGGGGAGGATGGGAAGGGATGGGAAGGGGAAACAAAGGAGGAGGCTACAATGCTTGATAAAAAAATGTACTCATTATCTTGCCCATGTAATTGTAACCCCTCTGTACAGTATTTTCACAATAAAAAAATAAATAAAATTAAAAAAAGAACTTCAAGTACCAGAGGCAATTAAACTCTGTGTGCCCTGGGTACTTGTCTCCTCTATTCTGTCCATAGTAAAAGCCATAAGCTCAGGACCAGAAGTCATATTTCGACTTACCAACTTTAAAAATTTGTTTTTACCAGCCCTTCAAAACTGTTGGCTGGGTCTCAATTCTTAGGAGCAAAAGGTACTTTTTTTTTTTTTTTGGTCGGTCATGGGACTTGAATCCTGGGCCTGGGCCTGGGCGCTGTCCCTCAGCTCTTCAGCTCAAGGCTAGCGCTCTACCACTGGAGCCACAGCCCCACTTCATTTTCTGAGTGGTTTATTGGAGATAAGAGTCTCTGGGACTTTCCTGCCCAGGCTGGCTTTGAACCAGGATCCTCAGATCTCAACCTCCTGAGTATCTAGGATTACAGGCCTGACACACTGGTGCTTGGAAAAAGGTACCTTTTAAGTTTATGGAAATGATTGCCATTCTGAGCCTGGGTTGAGCAGAAGCAGTCACCCTTTGGGGGTATGAGAGACAGCTGAAGGCCACAGCTGAAGAATGAGCACTTGCAGTTCTACCTGAGTACAGACTGTTTAGGATTTCTGCTACTTAATATCTGAAGTGGAAGGTTGCTGAGTTGTCTCATCTCTGCCTCCTACAGAAAGTACATTTCCCTTTAGACAATGAGACCTTGGCAGGAGAGACTTTGGGAATTGGGTAGAACAACCTGCTGAACTAGTTTCGTAAGGTTTGGATAAAGACTTAGCAGTGATAGGACTGTTTATCTCCACTCAGGCTGAGAAACTGGAGCAATGGCAAAGGTCATCTGTTTGGCTATGATGGTGACAAATGTCATATGAATTGCAGGCTGCAACACCTGAGCAGGATCTTGACTTAGGTAGCCTTTCCTTTTTTTGTTTTGTTTTGTTTTGTTTTTGTCGGTCGTGGGCCTTGAACTCTGGGGCCTGGGCACCGTCCCTCAGCTCTTCAGCTCAAGGCAAGTACTCTACCACTTGAGCCACAGTGCCACTTACGGTTTTTCCGAGTGGTTTATTGGAAATAAGAGTTTCTCAGCCTTTCCTGCCTGGGCTGGCTTTGATCCTCATATCTCAGCCTCCTGAGTAGCTAGGATTACAGGCTTGAGCCACCACGCCTGGCAGCTTTTTCTTCTTACAGTGTATGATTGGAGGGTAACCTGTTCAAAAGGTTTGAAGTGGTTTTGGATTTGAACAGGACTTCAGTGTGATGTTTCGTCTCATCAAAACACCATCATCATTCTTGCCTCTGGATTCCCTCTGATGCTTCTTCAGTGGTTCTGGCTCTGGCTTTCCTTACTCAAGGAGAAGCAATCTGCCATTTAAAATTACTGCTTGGTTGAAGCAAGTGCTCCCTTCAGAGCTGTGGTTTTGTAAGTTATTTTATAAGCGATTGTTTTATGTGTTTCTCAGAAGGTGTGAGTCCTTTTTGGGATCACGAGAACGTGTTGATAATGAACTATACAACTTGTGCGCAGGGACAGGAGGGGAAACTGGGAGGGAGCAAGGGACAGAGTGACATGTATAACTGTAACCCCTCTATACATCATCTTAATAATAACAATTAAAATCCTTTCTGTTTGCTTTTCTACATTATAGAAGAGTTTGAAGAATCTGCTTTGAGTCTTAATTTGGTGCAATTCTCCCTGAAGCTATCTGGTCCTGGGCAGTTCTTTGTGTGTAATTTTTCTCTTTAGAGGTTCGTTTGGATTTTTGTTTGTTCTTCAGGTTCATTTATGTTTGGGAGGGATTGTTGATATATATATTTTTTGTTTATTTTTGTTTTTGTCAGTCGTGGGGCTTGAACTCTGGGCTGGGGCACTGTCCTTGTGCTCTTCAGCTCAAAGTGAGTACTCTACTCCTTGAGCCACAGCACCACTTCTGGTTTTCTAGTGGTTTATTGGAGAAAAGAGTCTCAGGGACTCTCAGGGCTGGCTTTGAACTGAGATTCTCAGATCTCAGCCTCCTGGGTAGTTTAGGATTACAGGCGTGAGCCACCGGCGCCCAGCTGGGTTGTTGGTTTTGTTGTTCCTACTGCTGTTTTTATTGATGGTTCTGGGGTTTTGCACTCAAGGCTTCACACTTGCTAGGCAAGTGCCCTACCACTTGAGTCTTGCACCAACCCCTTTCTTTGCTCTGATTAGTTTTGAGATAGGATCTCTCTGTTCTCAAGCCTTCCCCCTACTTATGCTTCTCACTATAGCTGGGGTGACAGATGTGTGCCACCATGCCAGCTTAAAGAATCAAGCTACTTTTCTTGTGAATGTCCCAATATGTCTAGGCTTCACTGATTTTCTCTTGTTCTGTTTAATACATTTGACAAGAAAACTGACAAAGGAAATGTTATACCCTTTATGTTTGATAAAGTCTAGAGTCACATAACATCATCTTTTCCAAAGATTGGTAATAGTTTCATTTGGGTAAGGTGATATCCACCAATTTTTCCATTGCAAGTGTATCTTTTAGCCTTTAGGGAAAATGGGAGAAGGGGCTTAATTACTTTGTGTGTGGATATCATTCCCCACCCATCCTTACAAGAGGTTTATCATCCGTGATCATTGCCTGACTGAATTTAGGCCTACAAAATGATGGTTAATTACAGATAACGCTCTAACACAGAAGAAATCTAACAGATTTGTAGCACTGTAGAAGTGTTGTGGCTTCAGTTCTTATTTAATAAACTTCTATAACTTGTTTGCTTCTAGGTGAACCCTATCCACCCTTTTGACTCCTTCTCACCTGTGCATGTCCTGTTCCTGCTTTATACCTTCCTAACGAAACTCCCCCCCCCCCAACCCAGTCATTTGTTCCTGAAGGCCCTGTTTAGATAATAATGTTTTCTGGAAAGTTATTCCTCACGCAGATGGTAGGAACATGGTTCCTTCCTTCCTCTCTGTCCCTGTTCTCCATGTTATTTATTCCTTTACATTATAATTTTCAAACTACAGGCTGAATGATGAGGTTATCTTAACACATGCCATAAATCTCTGTTGGAAAGTGAAATATCCCTGCCTTCATATACCAGAAAGAAAAAGCTTAAGATAGTAAGAAAGCAGCTATTGTGTGTTTGTGTGTGTATGTGTGTGTATCATTATGAGTCATCGTTATTGGAGTTTCAGAGTTTTAAGGGAAAATAGCAAGAATGGGTATAGAGACTTCTTATGTTTGGTGAAGTTGACTTGTAAATTAATGACTGTTCTGAGTCTTTCTCTTGTTCTCTTTTTCCTTAGTACTGGATGAACGAATACACCTCATCCATTGGGATTGGAGTTTTTCATTCAGGAATCGAAGTGTATGGCAGAGGTATGTCTCCATACACACAGCTTAAATATATTCATTCTGAAGATTTTGTTTTTTTTAAGGAAATGCAAATCATAATTATAGGTCTTTTTATTTTTTGTAACTATTTCCATGTATTATTTTATAAAGGAACATAAACTCTCTCTGTGCTTGTTTGTTTATACTGTGTTTGGAAAAAATGACCAACATAGAATGAGTTTGAGAAGGTACTCAAATACAGAGTATACATTCATTTCATTATCTTTTATCCTAAATACTATGTCTTATACAACATTTTCATCTTTTGAGATTGTTATGCCATGATTCATTAGTTCTAATACAGTTTCTAAGAAACTTCCCACTTTGAAAAATGGCAATGGCATGACAAAAACAATCATTTTTGGTTGGAAAAGAGCTGATGCTAGAGAATGTGAAACTTGAAACACTAATTTCCTGAGGGAATTTCAGAAATTAGGTTTTTAGACCTGTGTGTAGATATACACATACTTAAAAATATCACTAAACACATCTTTGATTTCATCTAGCATTTTGCTCAAAAATGGTAGATTCTTCTTCTGTGTCACCTTTTAGTGTGGTGAATGTGAAAGGAGCAGCTGTGTTTTCATTAGCTTTTCCTTTGTCTGTTCCCCTCTCCGTGCAAAGTGATCTGCTCTTGATCAGGTTGCAAGCAGTAACAGTCTGCCTCTGCAGATCACATTGCCGAGTTCACTGAGGTTATACTAACACATCATTTGGAATAAAAAAAACTTACCCATAGCAGAAATGTCTTTTTTTTTTTCAATACTGGGGATTGAATTTAGGGCCTTGAGCTTGCTAGACATTCTAACACTTGAGGCATGCCTCCTCCCTTTTGTTTAATTTAAGGTAAAGTCCTGCTTTATGCGGGCTGTTCTAGGCTGTGATCCTCCTACTTGTACTTCCTGTATTGCTGGGAATAACAGGCACATGCCCCTGTGCCCAGGTATTGTGCATTTCCTGTGGCTGGGATAACAGATGGACACCCACCACCATGCCTATCTGTTAATTGAGATGGAGTCTTGCAAAATTCTTTTTTCTTGGGCTGTTCTTGAGCCCCAATGCCTTGATTATAGGCTTGAGACACTTCACTGAGCTCAGAAATGTCTTTATTGCTTGCATGACTGGGAAGTTGTTATAATTGCTAAGAATGTATTATTATTATAGTTGACTCAGGGCTAGCTCGTGTGTTTTGTTTTTTGTGTTTTTGTTTGGTTTGGTTTGGTTTTTTTGTGGTACTAGGGATTGAACCCAGGGCCTCATGTTTGCTGGCCAAGTACTCTATATATCACTTAAGTGGGTCAGTATAGTAATTATTGCTGTCTTAGGAGAGGGGTTGCTAGGGACAGAATCCAAGGCCTCATACATGGTAAGCTGGGCTCTCCTCCACAGCCACACACTGCTAATGTCTAATAGAACCAGAGCTTGAACGTACATGCTCTTAAATACCAGTCTTCCTGCCTATTCACTGATCCCTTTCTTAAAATGATTTAGGAATAATTAGAAGCATCATCCAATATACATATATATCCATCTAAACTTAGCAGAAAACGAATGACTTGTGCATTTTGTGTTTGTTTGTTTGTTTGTTGTGCTGGTATCAGGGTGCTCATGCTTTGCTCAGCCTTTTCACTCATAGTTGGCATTCTTTATCACTTGATCCATGCTTCTACTTCCAGCTTCTTGCTGGTTAATGAGAAATAAGTCTCAAGTATTTGTCAGCCTTGGCTGGCTTTGAACTGTGATACTCAGATCTCAGCTTCTAATGTCCAATCTGATTACAATATTTTTTAATAAGATTCTGTCAATAAAATATTTAAAGGGGCAGCAGAAATAGAGGTGACTCAAATGATAGAGTACTTACCTAGCAAATTCAAGGCCCTGAATTCAAACTATACCACCAAAAAGAGTTGAGGCTGAAGGTGTAGCTGTGGTTGAGACTCTTGAATTTAGACCCCACGAAATGGCGCTGTGGCTCAAGCGGTAGAGTGCTCACCTTGAGCTGAAGAGCGCAGGGACAGCACCAAGCCCAGAGTTCAAGCCCCACGACCGACAAAAACAAAACAAACAGACCCCAGAACTATTCCCCCCCCTCAAAAAAAATTAGGGTTGGTACAGTGATACATACCTGTAATCCCAGCACCCAGGAGGCAAGGCAAGAGGATTGTGAGTTCAAGCCCTACCTGAGCTACATAGCAAGGCCTGTCTCAAAAAAATGGGGGGGAACCCCCTATGGTTTCTGTTTCTAAATGGGATAGTAAACATTCTCATTTGCATCTTGAAAGTCTGAATCAAAAGTAACCTTATACCAGCCTTCTTCTTTTCTATGCTGTGTTCTAAGACCTTTTGAGGTTCCACTTGATAAAAATTGAGTTTAAAATTTTTTATTGTCAAGGTGTTACATAAGGTAGTGAGTGTATTTCTTGTCAAACTTGTTACTCTCTCCCTCATTTTTCTCCCACTTGCCCTCCCAACACCCCCCCTCTCCCCCACCAACAATCATTTTAATAAGTAAGCAGTACCTAGGAATTGTAGCCAGGCATGTTCATCTTTCCTGATGTGAAACCATTTTCCATTTTGTTCTAGATGCAAGTTTGTGTCTGAGCTAGAATATATGTACTGTACTGCATGCCGTACTCTGTTAGCTAAGGGATTTGCTACGCAGTGTTGGGATTGGCGTATGTTAATTTTGATAGCTTATTGCTCCAATGAGGAAAATTGAATTCAATGTTTCAGTTTAATCTTTTGCTTTTGTTTCAGACAGAGCTCCATCCACTATGTAGCCCAGGCTGGCCTCAAGCTCACAGTCCTTATGCCTCCAACTCCCAAGTGCCAGGATTACAGGCATGAACACAATGTTTAGTATGATGTTACACTCTTTTTTTTTTTTTTTGGTCAGTTATGGGACTTGAACTCTGGGCCTGGTGCTATCTGAGCTCTTCAGCTCAAGGCTAGCACTCTACCACTTGAGCCATAGCACCACTTCTGGCTTTTTCTGTTTATATGGTGGGCTTCATGCATGTGAGGCAAGCACTCTACCACTGAGCCACCTTCCCAGCCCCAGATGTTGTATTCATATTCCAACATAAATCAGGAGTTTTTAGTCCTAAGGATGTAGCTTAGTGGCTAAGTGCTTACCTTTCATGTCAAAAGCCCCACATTCCGGGCTGGGAAGGTGGCTCAGTGGTGGAGCGCTTGCCTTGCATGCATGAGGCCCTGGGTTCGATTCCTCAGTACCACATAAGCAGAAAAAGCTGGAAGTGGAGCTGTAGCTCAAGTGGTAGAGCGCTAGCCTTGAGCTGAGGGACAGCGCCCAGCCCCAGAGTTCAGGCCCCACAACTGGCAAAAAAAAAAAAAAAAAGCCCTACATTCCATCCCCAGCACTGCAAAGAGAAAAGTCTTCACCCCTGAACAGGAAAAGTGAATACCATTAGGCAATTTGGATTCTTCAGTAAAGTGCAAACCCCTGGGCTGCCGACCTAGATTGGCATAACAGCTGTGCAGAACCTCCCCTTTTGAGTTAGTTACTCGCTTCTTGTCAGCATACCCAGAGTACACATACCACTCATTACTGTGAAGTGTCTTTCATTATTAAGAGTTTCAGATCTTTTTTGACAACTGTTCTCTACTAATAAGAGCTAAGTGAGATGTTTGTGAAAGACTTTTATAAACTAAAAAATATTTATCATTATCTTCATCATTTATTAAAGCTGATTCAGCATATTCTGGTTAAATTTTATGTGATAAATACTAAAAATCATGAGTTTTCTCTTTTCAGAATTTGCTTATGGTGGCCATCCTTACTCTTTTTCTGGAATATTTGAAATTTCCCCAGGAAATGCTTCTGAACTAGGAGAAACATTTAAATTTAAGTAAGTAGGGAGGATAATTTTTATTACATTGTCTTAGGTGCCAAAGCTTGTTTGCAGGCATACAGAATTCATTCTGTAGGTCAAAATCTTTAAAAGTTAAAATGGTTCTTTTTTTAGTTGCCGACACTTTATTTGTAAATTAAATTTATTTGTATATAAAAAAGTAGATCAGTCAAATAAAGTGTCTTAAGTATATTGTTTTCATTCAGAACCTACATAGTTATTCTGTTTTTTCAAATACTCTCCTATTTGGGAGGAAAGGAAAGAAAGTTTGGTGTGACTTACCTTCTCGTTTCTCCCACTTAATTCAGAATACTTCACAAATTTGAAATGACTACACTTGTTTAGCCTGAAACTGTTAAGATAAAGGTATTACATGCAATAATATACCTAAAATATGTGGCTCTGAGTGTTCTCTGAAGCCCTAGGAGTTATAAACAGAAGTGGAAAAATGTAAATAGTAGTAATCAAATTTCCATTCCATAGTTAAGTGTTATATTTAAAGTGATATTTAGAATCTTAGTTTCAAGAAGCAATGTCTAGTTCTGTAATAGTAAACTTGCCAAATGAAAGCTAGCTAATGAAATGAAATTATAACACAGAAATTTGGCCTAGGGCTCACACCACATTCAAACATCTTAGTTTGAATTGAGCCATGTATACATTCCAGTGCAGTGACTTATCCTGAGTCTATTCCTCAGGCTTCCCTCTGTGCCCGGCTACTTGACAAACACGGTCTTTCTGTTATTTTCAGCTGTCTTGAATGTGTAAATTGTATCTGACTGAAACTATATGCTTTTTATTCAATAATGTCTTGCACTTTCTGGGTTGTAGTTTTAAGTGGTGTAGTTTTGTGGTGTTTGTTTGCTTCTTTTTTTTTTTTAATACTTTTAAATATTGTCAAGTTCCGTAGTTCATCTTATTATAGCACAGTAGGATATGACTTTAAAAGTTGTTTCTCAGTAACAATATGGCAAGCCCTTTGCTGGCAGAAATATTTTGAATATGGATCATGTTCTTTAAGTCTCATTTACCTTTAGTCGAATTGCATTAACTCTGATCTGTTACATCCATCATAATGTTCCTGGAAATAAGCATGTATTTAAATAAATCTGAAACTCACACAGCTTTGTTCTTTTTCTTTTTTCTTTTTTCTTTTTTTTTTTTTTAAGAGAAGCTGTTGTTTTAGGGAGCACTGATTTCCTAGAAGATGATATAGAAAAAATAGTAGAAGAACTGGGAAAAGAATATAAAGGCAATGCCTATCATTTAATGCATAAAAACTGCAATCACTTTTCTTCAGCTTTATCAGAGGTAAGTTCCATTTTATCCTAAAAGTTCTTCTGATAACTTTTTATGTTATATAAGTGCTGTCCCACTACATTCAATCTTGATTCTTTTTTTTCCTAATTAGCCATGTTGTGTAAGATACAGTATTATATTTCTTTCATTGTTACTTTTCCAGAGCTTATAGTTTTAGAGTTAGCATAGTATTAAGTAGTAATTTTGTTCATCATGTTAGTCACGTTCTGTGGTTATGACAAATACCTTGAGAAAGACATCTTAAATGGATTTCACCTCCCTGAAAATCTGTTCATAGTAGACTGCTGTTGATTTGGGACCACAGTATATCATAGCAGGAAATGTATGATAGCCAGAGCTGTGCATCTCGTGGTGCTGAAAAGCAGAGACACAGGAAGGGCCTAAGATTCTAATGTTCCCTTCAAGGGCCTGTCCCCCAAATCCTAACTTAGTTCCACTAGGCCCCACCTTTCAGTAGCACACCACAGGCTGGCCTTTACCAGGCCTTTTAACACAAAAAACAAACTTAAAACTTGCACTTTCAGAAAGTAAATGCCAAGCTAGGTGTGGTAGCTTATACCAGTGGTCCCAGCACTTGTGAAGCAGAAGCAGCAAGATTGCAAATTAGAGGCCAGCTGGGCCTCTTAAGTTCCAGGCCAGCCTGGGCCATCTAGTAAGACTGTCTCAAAAAGAAAACAAGCCTAAAAGGACTTGTGCTTCTTAGCTATTGAGATTTTCTTTTGCTGAATTTTAGTTGCCAACCTTAATTTTTTCCCTAATTTTTGTTAATAAGTAATTAATTTCTTCTGTCTTGAAATTTTATTCTGCCAACTTATTACACGCCTTACCAATTCTTTTTTTTTTTTTTTTTCCTTTTGGGTCCAGTCATGGGGCCTGAACTCTGGGCCTGGGCGTTATCCCTCAGCTCTTCAGCTCAAGGCTAGTGCTCTACCACTGGAGCCACAGCGCCACTTCCGGCTTTTTTCTTTTTGCTTATGTGGTGCTGAGGAATCGAACCCAGGGTCTCAGGCTTGCAAGGCAAGTGCTCTACCACTGAGCCACCTTCCCAGCCCGCCTTACCAATTCTTGAAACACAAACAGAAGACTAAAACTAGAGCAAGGCCTGGGATAATAGCTCAAGTGGCATAGTGCTTGCCCAGCAAATACAAAGCCCTGAGTTCAAACTTCACCACAAACATAAATAGATAAATAAAACTAGATTAGGATTTAAAGGACTCTAAAAAGAAGACGGAGAGAAGAAATGAATGATGATATAAATAAGGTATGGAGAATTAAATGGAGATGGCTTTGACTCTCAGCACATGATTGTGGTTGCAATATCAAGGTACAACGAACTGAAAGGTATGGATGAGTTGCTGCACAGTGACTTCCTTTGCAGAGAGGCTCAGCTAGATGGCCTTTTGCACTTCGCCTTTCAAATACCATGATAGCAGGTTATTACTGTGATAGTCAAGTATAGTTCATGAGCGAGCAGTGTCACATAGAAATTTGTGAAATACATCTGATCTCTGCTCCGCTACATCTGTTCCAGATCAGAAACTTCATTTTTATTTATTTTTTTTTATTTTTATTTTTTTTTGGGTCCGGTCATGGGGCCTGAACTCTGGGCCTGGGCGCTGTCCCTCAGCTCTTCAGCTCAAGGCGAGCGCTCTACCACTTGAGCCA